GAAACAAGGGGTTCACCGAGGGGCTCCACTAGGGTAAGTTCCCTCTCGAGGCTCCTTTCTTTCTTTCTTTTTAATAGATTTTTATTGATTTCAGAGAGGAAGGGAGAGGGAGAGGGAGAGGGAGAGGGAGAGGGAGACGGAGATAGAAACATCATTGATTAGAGAGAATCATGGATCGGCTGCCTCCTGCACGCCCCACACTGGGGATCGAGCCCACAACCCGGGCCTGTGCCCTGACCGGGAATCGAACCGTGACCTCCTGGTTCATGGGTCGACGCTCAACCACTGAGCCGCGCCGGCCGGGCTGCAGGGATCCCTTTTAAAAACCTTAAAACTGAAAACATCCTGGGGATGTGGGCGGGGCCTTCGCCTGCTCACCTGCCTCCAGGTGAGGGCGGCCCAGCTGACCTCCTGGCGGAGGCCCCGGGGTTACGCAAGGGAAGAGCTAAGCTCCTGGCAGCACACGGAGCCCGGCTGTGCCAGGGACATTCTGTTTACAAAGCACAGAGGGCAGGAGGAAGGAACAAGCCATTCTTGTCCCCTGATCAGAAGGCTCCATTGTGTCTGTCCAACGTGTCGGCATCGATTTCACTGAAGACGCCGTCATCGCCACCAGCGTCAAAGTCAGAGCCCTCCAAGCCCAGCCGCCTCCCACCGCCGGAGCGAGGGCTCCCAGGTTCTGCAGCTCAGAGTAAAGCCGGCAGCCCTGGCCTGGCCGGCGTGGCTCAGGGGTTGAGCGTCAACCTATGAACCAGGAGGTCACGGTTCGATTCCCGGGTCGTGGGCTCCATTCCCAGTGTGGGGCGTGCAGGAGGCAGCCGATCCATGATGCTCTCTCATCCTTAATGTTTCTATCTCTCTCTCTCCCTCTCCCTTCCTCTCTGAAATCAATACAAATATTTTTTTAAAAAAGAATTGATTGGGAAAAATATTTTTTTAATATATTTTATTGATTTTTTTACAGAGAGGAAGGGGGAGGGATAGAAAGTTAGAAACATCGATCAGCTGCCTCCTGCACACCTCCTACTGGGGATGTGCCCACAACCAAGGTACATACCCTTGACGGGAATCGAACCTGGGACCCTTCAGTCCGCAGGCCGACGCTCTATCCACTGAGCCAAACCGGCTAGGGTTGGAGCAAACCTTTGAAGTCTCTGGACTCCTGCAGGAAAAAGGAAATAAAACTCACCGCTGGCCCAGAAGGCCTGCTCTTGCCAAGGGCCCCGCAGTAGCTCCCCCTCCCCATGGTGACTATCTATAGTCAAGAGCACAAAAAAGCCAAGCGCTTGAAGCAGACGCTGGGCCGGAAATGAAAACCAGGCCGGCTGGGAAGCAAAGCGACAAGGAAAAGGGGGACAGCGGTGGCCTCGCCTCTGAGGTCGGAGCTGCCCCCGCGGAGACCAGCCGTGCAATGATCAGGCAGCCGGGGAGCGCGGGTTATGCTCCCACTGTTTGCCTGTCATCGTGTTTGGGATCAGCAGTCGTCTCGGAGTTTACCTAGGCTCTCCTAGAAAAAGAAAGCCACCCTTATAAATCTCTCTGTTTCTTTATTATTTTTATTGATTTTAGAGAGAGGAAGGGAGAGGAGGAGAGAGAGAGAAACATCCATGATGAGAGAGAATCATGGATCGGCTGCCTCCTGCACGCCCCCACACTGGGGATGGAGCCCGCAACCCGGGCCTGTGCCCTGACCGGGAATCGAACCGTGACCTCCTGGTTCATAGGTCGATGCTCAACCACTGAGCCACACCGGCCGGGCAAGACCTCATTTTCAAATAAGTCACATTCACAGGCACCAGGGGTTAGGATTTCACCCTATATTTTGGGGTGCGGGGGACACAGATTAAGCCTCAGCACTTTCAGAAATCGAGGGGCTGGGCCTGTTGTGGCAGGTCCCTGCCGCCTTAGAAACTAGAGGCCTGGAGAGTACATCCAAGTGCCCACCAGGGGGCACCCCTTGACCGGAGAATAACAAACGTCCCCGTGGTTTTATTCAATCCCCCCATGAATCTGTTCCTTAGCTTTATTTCTTTAATGAGGATCAGAAAGAATCGCCCAGAGAGATTCGAGGATTTTCTGATTTTCCATTCAGAGAGGTCCCAGCAGCTTTAAAACTCATTTTCCCGCACACGTAGCCAAGGGGTGGGAGTCCACCTGTGCGGGTAGATTCTTGGGGACCAGAGGGGGCGCTTCAGAGTCCCTACAAGAGAACACCGTATTGGGAAGCCGGAGAGCTAAATTAGAGGGGCCTGGCGCTCCCACTGGATCCAAGATGTAACTGAGATCACAGGTCAAACATTAAGTTGAGCTCGGCCGGCGTGGCTCAGTGGTTGAGCGTCAACCTATGGAACCAGGAGGGCAGGGTTTGCTTCCTGGTCAGGGCACACACCTGGGTTGCGGCCTCGATCCCCAGTAGGGGGCGTGCAGGAGGCAGCCGATCCATGATTCTCTCTCATCATGGATGTTTCTCTCTCTCTCTCTCCCTGTCCCTTCCTCTCTCTGAAATATATATATATATTTTAAAAGAAAAAAAGAAAGAAAACCTGTATGACTAGGGCCAAGAGAGTAAAGGGGGGAGTAGTGGGAGAGAGAGAAGTCAGAGGGAGGCAGACCATGGAGGATCTTATAAGTGGGGTGAGGCATTCTGAGCAGAGAGTAGCATGATGGGATTTCTATTACACACACACACCTCCAACACAGGCTGCTTGACAAGAGAAATGTTCTTTTTCTTGTTGTATATTTACATGGTAGTGGGATCCCTCTGGCAGCTGTTGGGAGGTGTGGATGTTGGGTTTTTCTCGTATTCGTATGAAGAAGTCTAGCCGACTTCCTGGTGGAGGAGATAAGCACCTGTATATAGAAGCCTGGACAAGGGAGGGATTTCCACGCACCGGCTTCCGATGGTATTTAGAGAGGCAGAGACTGTGCTGTGGGTTAGAGCGAGGAGGCGGCAGCTGGCTCTGAGCTGAGAGGTAGGAGAGTCCTCGGGGCCCAGGAAGGAGAGGACTGAGCTGGAGAGAGAGAGAGAGAGAGGGAATTTCCTTTTCTGGTTGACATATTTGGCTTTTATATTTGCAAACTGAATCATTTCTTGGGGTGGCTTTTCCAAGACGAATAGTCACTCCCAAAAGCCTATGAAGTCTTTGTTTTCCACGGGATAGAAAACCGCTCTCCGCTTTGAAAGAAAGAGCAGTTAATTTTTCTTTCCATCACCCTGTCCAGGTTTCAGAGCTCTCAGGTCCGGTTTCGGTCCATCGCCCCAGCGAGCGATCGCTGAAACCCAGGGAGGCCTTTCTTATGCACCGAAGTTTCTGGTAGGAAGAAAACTTAGGTCTAAAGAATGGGGTCCCTGTCTCTTTCCTTCTGAAATAGCTTTTTTTTAAAAAATATATTTTATTAATTTTTTACAGAGAAGAAGGGAGAGAGATAGAGAGCTAGAAACATCGATGAGAGAGAAACACCAATCAGCTGCCTCCTGCACATCTCCCACTGGGGATGTGCCCGCAACCCAGGCACATGCCCTTGACCGGAATCGAACCCGGGACCCTTGAGTCCGCAGGCCGACGCTCCATCCACCGAGCCAAACCGGCTTCAGCCTGAAATAGCTTTTAATCGGGAATGGTCTGCTTGGCTCCGGAGTGTATGCCAAACCCAAGGTGCAGAAAGCCAAATGAGAAAGCAATAACGTCCCTGAGCCGCTGAACCAAGAATATATGGGCAATAATTGCAGACAATGACAGCTCTCACACTGTTCCAGCGTGGGGCCTTCTCTGCGATTTGGGAGCCAGGATATTTATTTGCTATGAGGATCCGAAATGAAAACAAAATGGGAGAGCCACTTAGACATAGGGGAAGAGGAGAGACAGCCTCAGATAAGATCTGATGGAACCAAATGGACTTGGGGTGGGGGTGGGGGTGGGGGTGTACTTCTTGGCATTGCCCCCACGGTCCACGTCACCCGAGAGCTCGGCCAAGGTCTATTTTTAGGCTCCTACTGTGTCTTTTGAACGCGGTTGGGTCTTAGGAGCTATGACGTGACGCCGATCATGCTGAGAGGACGCACACTCCCAACCAAAATGCCCTTCGCGGTGGGTGCTGATTTCTCCATTTCCAGCCCAAGGGGTTCTGAGTTCCTCTCGGACTCCAGCCGAGGGCCAGGGTGCCTCCTGCCGCTGAGCCAGGTCGTCCACCGTGGGACGCACAGGGGGGCCCAGTCCGCAGGCTGCGGGGACCCTGGTGCACAGGGACACCTTCAGCTCCGGTCGAGTTTGGCCCAGATCCAGCGCTGCCCGACCCGAGGGCGCCGGCAGGTGCAGAGCGGAGGCCTCGCCAGCTTGCAGCCCAGGCCTGGCTTCCTGGTGACACGTTAACCAGGGTCCCGGGCGGCTCGTGACAGCCGGAGGACTGTCTCCTCCAGGCCGAGAGCCGCACGCCACGACGAAGCGGGCTGCCGGATGCTCATGCAATAAAAACCCCGCATCCAGGTTTCCCAACGGCTGCGAGAGGGATCCCGTTAAAATGCAAACATACAACAACCAAAAGGAGGCGACGACCTCTTCATCGAGGCGGGTCCCGGTGGCGGAAGGACTGTCTGCCTCCTTGGGGCGGGCACTGGCCAAAAGCTGGACCCCACTGTCCCCCCCTCCCCCCCGCCTCCCGCCCCAACCCCCACCACCCGCGGGGCCGTCCCGCCCACTCTGAATTCAGCCTGCTGCCGGGACTGCGTGCGCATGCGCAACCTCGGGCGGGGCGAGGCTTCGCGCTCTCCTGCGGCCCCTCCCCCTCCTCTTTCCGGGCCCGTCTCGACAACGCGGGGCGGAGTGCGCCTGCGCGACCGCGGGTGGGCGGGGCCTCGCGCTCTCCTGCGGCCCCTTCCCCTCCTCTTCTCCGACCCGTCTCGCCAGCGCGGGGCGGAGTGCGCCTGCGCGACCGCGGGTGGGCGGGGCCTCACGTTCCCTTCCGCCCCTCCCCCTCCTCCGCCTGGGCCCGTCCCGCCGGCGCGGAGCGGAGTGCGCCTGCGCGGAGCCGGCAGTCCCGCTGGGCCGCAGCCGCGGGGTGGCGGGCGGTTGCCTTGGGGACCGCGGGCCCCTCCCTCCTCGGTCCCCGCCCCACGCCGTTCGCCACCGCGACGCGGCGGACGACCCCGGCCCTCCCCTCCCGCCGCCCGGCCGGCGCTGCAGCCGTGACCCGCGAGAGGCGGCGCCGCTCCCAAGATGTCGCAGACGGCCATGTCCGAGACCTACGGTAGGCGGGCGGGGGGCGCGGGCCCGAGGGCGGGCGCGGTCTGCGTCCCAAGTTTCCTCCTCTTCTCCGCGTTTCCTCGGGGTCCGGGCTCCTGGCCCAGGGTTGGGGGGCGCAGCCGAGCCTCCGTTCCTGCGCGGCATTGTCCCCGGGGAGGGATGGGAGGACTTGGGGCGACGCCTGCGTGTCCGGGCGCCTCGGCGGCCCCATCTGACCCCACCCCCCGTCCCTCCCGGTTGGCGATGCTTTTCTTCGCACCCGAATGCGAGGAGTTGTGGGTAGTCGGACCCAGCGCCTCCTCGGAGACCGCCTGCCCCTCTCTCTCTCTCTCTCTCTCTCTCTCTGTCTCTGTCTCTCCCCCCCCCCCCCTTCCTGGTTGCATGATCACCATTTGTAAACGCGTCTTTTGAAGACCAGAAGCCCCTAGAGGCACAGTCCTGAGCGTGTGTGTGTGTGTGTGTGTGTGTGTGTGTGACCTTTGCTTCCCCGGGGAGCACCCACCCCCACAAATAACTGCGAATAAATGAGCGCCCCCTCCCCCCAGGCCCATATGCTGGGTGTCCCCGGTTCTGTTCGGTCCCGCGTGGGAGGCACGCGCCGCTGGGTGGACCCCGGCGTTCTCCGCGGGTCGAAGCGGGGTCACCAGCCCGGGTGGAGACTTGGCGAGTGTGGCTTCGGAGTTTGTGCGCCCCACGAGGGTCCCGCAGGCCCGGCCGCTCCTTCCCCGGGAGTGTGTGTGTGCAAGGGCGCGTGTGCAAGGGACCCCGGGAGCCCGCATGCTGGAGGGCACACTCAGGCTGGTGGCGCCCCCTGTTTTGTAGGGGGGGGGCGGGGGAGGTATAGGGGGGACACAGTGTTAATCCAATTATGACTCTAATGAACGGCTCAAGCCCTGGCAGGACTTGGGAAGGAATGTGGTCTGTGAATGTGCCTTACAAAGATGCTGAACCCCAACAGAGAATCCTAACCCAGCCTGGGGGCCCCCCACCCCGGGAGAGGCGCCCCGGCCAGCACAGCAGAACTGCACATGCCCAGGCCCTGAGAGAGGAGGTCCCCCAAGGGGAGCGTGGTTGAGGCCCCACAGCCCTGGGGAGAAGGGCAAGGGTAAGGCAGAGGGGACCCCAAAAGGTCACAGTGCATTTGCTCCTGTGATGGGCACATGCCTGGTGACCCTGGGGGCAGGGGTCTGCTCCCTAGAAGGCTTCGGGGATCCTGGGGAAGTTGCTGGCCTCCTAAGGACCCCGTGCTGTCACAGGTGCAAAGGCTTAGAACATTGCACCCACGTGGTCCCGGGTTCTCCTAGACTAGGGCAGTGGTTCTCAACCTTCCTCATGCCACGACCCTTTCATACAGCTCCTCATGTTGTGGGGACCCCCAACCATAGAATTATTTTCGTGGCTACTTCATCACTGTGATGTTGCTACTGTTATGAATCGTCATGTAAATAAATACCTGATATGCAGGATGTATTTTCATTGTTACAAATTGAACATAATGAAAGCATAGTGATTTATCTCTTTCTCCCTTCTTCTCTGAAATCAATAAAAACAATATGTTATTATATATGTGTTTTCCTGTGGTCTTAGGCGACCTCTGTGAAAGGGTCGTTCAACCCCCAAAGGGGTCGCGACCCACAGGTTGAGAACCGCTGTGCTAGGGCATCCCAGTCCCATCTCTAAAGCAGACCCGTTTCTCTAGCAGTTTGGGGTTACATACACTCTTGCTTCTCTTTGTTTTCAAGTGCCCCTGACCCCACGGCCCCTTTTTTCTTGAGCCTGGAGGAGGCTCAGGAGGAGGCCTGGACCCCGAGTGGGGGTGCAGAGTGAGCCAGAGGGGCGGGAGGAGCGCAGGAAATGGGGCCCTTATGTTTCTGTTGCCTCCTGTGAGCGTGCCTGGCGCATCCCTGCTTGCCTTCATGGTTCCTTGAACTTTGGAGCCGCACAGTAACTGGTGAAGCTCTGATCACAAGGCTTTGATCATTAGGATTCTTATTTCGTGGTACCTCCCGAATAGGCTTTTACTTGTTACCAACGGAATTTAACCTTTTCCTGTAATAGAGGAAGCCGCTAGAAAGTTCGTTTCAGAAAGAGCATTTGGCAGTTGGCAGTGTCAGCCTGAAGTTAAAAACCACCCCGAACCCAGTCCCAACGCCGTCACCTCCCTATGGACCTTGTGTGCACGGCATTCTTCCCCCAAGGAAAACAGTCAGGGCCGGAACTCGTCTCTTCAGTAGCTGCTAAAAACAATATTTGCCTAACCTTTCCACTCCTTGCTGCTCTAGGCTCACTTTCTCTCTTCTGGAAAGAGGGCTCTGTGCACCTCACCGGGATAAAATGAAAAATAAAGAGCCACCGCTACAGTGTGCTGTTCATCAGCCATATCCCTGCTTTTTCCCACGTTAAGGCCGTATTTCACCTTCCATCGGCTGAGTGGTGTTCATCATTTTGGTGCTTTGAAGCCACTAACCACATGGAAAACATATACTTTACATAATAGTGTGATACAGATTGGCAATCTTAACGGCATAGGTTTCAGATTGAAACCTTCTGTCTGAATGTCCTAAACTGACAATGTTTCCCAAATGTTTGACTCACCGAATTCTTAAAGCCCTGGCCAGTTAGTGTGGGTTCCGCCTGCCGAGGAGCTCCCACCAGCTGAGCCTCGGGGGATCGCAGATTGACTTTAAAGTCCTTTCTGCCCCTGGCTGGTGTGGCTCAGTGCGTGGGCCTGCGGACTGAAGGGTCCTGAGTTCGATTCCCCATCAGGGCACGTGCCCGGGTTTCAGGCTTGATCCCCAGCAGGGGTGTGCAGGAGGCAGCCAATCAATAATTATCTCTCATCATCGATGTTTCTCTCTCTCCCTTCCTCTCTGAAATCAATAAAAATGTATTTAAAAATAAATAAAGTTGTTTCTGATACTAAGAGTTGTGAGATAGACTAACAAATCAAAGAGGTAGTACCAAGCCATGATGTTCAGAAAGGAACTAAGAAGTATGAGTAGTGCTGCCCTGGCAGGTGTGGCTTAGTTGGTTGGGCCTCCTCACCGGCACCTAAAGGTTGCTGGTTTGATTCCCAGTCGGGGCATGTGCCTGGGTTGTGGGCTCAATCCCCATTAGGGGGCGTGCAGGGGGCAGCCGATCCATGATTCTCACATCAATGTTTCTCTCTCCCTCTCCCTTCTTCTCTCTCTAAAATCAGTTAAAAATATTGTTTTAAAGTATAAGTTCAGAAAATGCTACGAAAAAAAGTATTTTAAGGGCTGAGGCAATTTGATAGGAAAAATCTAAGACAAATCTCTATACATTGGAGTTTTTCTACAGTGAAAATTCTTTATGAAACAACACAAATTGTTGGTTCTATGCTAATTATTATTACAATATACCCTTAATGTTTTTATTTTGTGCTTTGTTTTGAAAGTAGTATAGTATTTACCATGTGAGAATTATCGGGAATGTGTGTGTATGTGTGTGTGTGTTTAGAGCAGTGGTTCTCAACCTTCCTAATGCCGCGACCCTTTAATACAGTCCTCATGTTGTGGGGAACCCCAACCATAAAATTATTTTCGTTGCTACTTCATCACTGTCATGTTGCTACTGTTATGAATCGTCATGTAAATATCTGATAGGCAGGATGTATTTTCATTGTGACAAATTGAACATCATGAAAGCATAGTGATGAATCACAACAACAATATGTAATTATGTATGTGTTTTCCGATGGTCTTAGATGACCCCTGTGAAAGGGTCGTTCAACCCCCAAAGGGGTCGCGGCCCACAGGTTGAGAACCGCTGGTTTAGAGGCTTTTGCGGGTTGAACTATGTTCCCCAAAAGACATGCTCAGATCCTGACCCCAGGTCCTGTGACTGTGGCCTTGCTTGGAAATAGGGACTTGGCCGGTTGAGACAAGGTCCCGTTGGGTTGTGGCCCTAACTCAGTGACTGGTGTCCTTGTAAACCAGAGGCATTTGGTCCCAGGCTTGCATGGAGAATGTGATGTGAATTCAGCGCCTGAGACTGGAGTGAGGTAACTCCAAGCCGGGGGTCGCCCCGGGGGCTGGCAGCTCATAGGCAAGGAAGGATCTTTCCCTGGGGCTCCAGAGAGGGCGTGGCCGGCCAGCACCTTGACTTGGGCTCCAGCCCCTAGAGCTGCGAGGCAATACCTGTCTCCTCTAAGCCACCATCTGTCTCCCATGTGCTCATTCACCTAAGAGACAAAGTGACAACCCTTTCTCGCTCTCTTTTTTTTTTTTAAATATATTTTATTGATTTTTCACAGAGAGGAAGGCAGAGAGATAGAGTTAGAAACATCGATGAGAGAGAAACATCGATCAGCCGCCTCCTGCACATCTCCTACTGGGGATGTGCCCGCAACCCAGGTACATGCCCTTGACCGGAATCGAACCCCTTTCAGTCTGCAGGCCGACGCTCTGTCCACTGAGCCAAACTAGTTTCGGCAACCCTTTTTCTCTTTCTCTCCTGGTGGGTGGGCCTGTCACCTGCCCAGTCATCCAGCCAGGCCCTCGAGCATCATCTTATCGCACATGCCTCTCCCTCACCTGCCCCTGCCCCTGCTTGCTGCCCCTCCCGCCCCTCCAGGCCTCTGCAGCCTGCCTGCCCACCCAGAGCCCACCTCCCCGTGCTCCTCCCACAGTGCCAGCACTGCTGATCCTCCCGTATCCTGGTCTGTATCCTGGTCTCCTGAGTCTCGTTGCTTTCTCCGTCTTTTAAACTGACCTCTTCACATAGTTCAGGTTACTGTTTACCCTGCAGGCATCCAGGGCAGGTTCAGTTGAGGCTGGTTTAGTGGATTATGAAGCAGAAAACCCAGCGTCCCAAAGTTCATCGCAGCAGCTTAGCTCACGGCACGGCCCCTGCTCCGCGCCTGGCCCACAGCCTCCCACTCCTGTGCGCCAGGAGGCGAGACAGCTCCTGGGTGAGGGTGAGGGTGGCGGTGGGGGTGATTAGAAGGGGACTTGGTGACATTATTTAGGGCCCTGGGGACTTAAGCCACAGCTTCGCAGAAAAGTCAGGATAAGTTAATGGTATTTCCAAGGGCCTTTGATTTGAGCTCCTTGAAAGACAATTTCATGTCGGCATAATGTGAACTTTACTTCTCACTATGATAAGGGTTCTATCTCTTCCGTAATTGATCATATCACCAACAGTCTCAACCTTTGGGCCCCTTTCTTTTTTTTCTTTTTAATATGTTTTTATTGATTTCAGAAAGGAAAGGAGAGGGAGAGAGAAACATCGGTGAGAGAGAAACATCAGTCGCTGCCTCCTGCACACCCCCAACTGGGGATCGAGCCCACAGCCCGGGCATGTGCCCTGATCCGGAATCATAGGTCGGGCTCAGCCCCTGAGCCACGCCGGCTGGGCAAGGCCCTTTCCGTAGAGTCAGCCAGCACAGGCGTCTGTGCAAGGCCCACGCTCACTGCGCTCTCTGCCCGCCCGGCCTGGCGTGGGCTGTGCCCTGCTGTTTGAAGAAGACTGGACTGTTGTTTCTCTGGAGCCGTGAGTGTGGACTAAAGCAAAGGGACATGCAGGCTGCTGTTGAAAGGCTGGATGAAGTCACCCGGGCTTAAGGGATGGTGGCTCTAGTACAACAGGCCAGTCAAGTCAGCACCGTGGCCACACGCTTTCTTCCTTGTAATTCCCCTTAAGGCTGCCAAGCAAAGTGGAGAGAGATTCGGCCAGTACAGACCCATCCCGGGGAGTGCTGGGCATGACTCCTGAGGACACGCCAGGTGCAGCCCGACACTCACAGCGGTGACCTCTCGGTGACAGGACTAGGGAGCTTGTCTTTTACTTCTCTCCTACGCTGTACTTTGGGCACTTAGGAAGTCTTAAAAAGCAATAGTCATAAAATGCTAATGAATTATGAATGAGAATATACTTTAGAGGGAAGTTTATCGTTTGCCAATGAATTTTTAATCACGCAGGAAAGACACTGGGACTTACAAACAAGGCATCTCTCTTTGTTACAGTTAGAAACAGCATGATCTGCAGTGTCCTCAGTGTTCGGCCTGTTCTCTGTCCATCGTTCACGCTGGCAAGTGCAGGACCCTCCCCAGCTGCAGGCCCCTCTCCGCGCGGCCGGGAGTGTGCGGGTCTGCTCTTCAGTGCAGGCAACTCCCGGCTGGGACAAAGCCCATCTTTCCTGAAGACCAGACCATCCGCTCTCTGAGAGCCGGGGGAGGGGGGGGGGGGGGAGGCGGTGTTTAGGCGGCTTTCTGTCCATCGCAGTGTGTGTGTGTGTTTCCCAAACAGCTTCAGGGAACCCAGAGGCCCTGTGTGATGCCGTGTGAGCGGTGATGGACTTCCCTCTCAGGTGCAGAATAGGGTCCAGAGGCCAGGTGCATAGGAATCTTGAAGACTTAGTGCATCCTTTTCCTGTGGTGGGAGTCATACCCTTTCCCATCGTCACCACATCAATGCGACTGGAAGGAAGGCCTCGCTCGCAGACAGCATGTCCGCCTTAGAGGGTGGACGGGCGTCCTTTCAGGAAATGGTGCACCTGGTCAGTTCACGGCCTGGGCAGAGAGCTGCCGCCTGGCTGAGGATGGCCTGGTACCTGGAGAGAAAACGTGATGATCAGATGGCGGTGGTCAGCCATGGAGGTGACAGATGGAAAAGACGGGCTTTGGGCGCCCCTGTGGGGACTGTGCTGAGCCCGGACATGGCCTGGGGCCCCGTGGCTGACTGTGCTGACAGGTGTATCAGGTGATCGAATCCGTGGCCAGCAAACATTCCAATGCCTGGCATTTGACAGTGAAGTAAACATTTGTTAAATGAGCACCCCTGGTTCTAAAGCCAGGCTTACTTACCAGCCTCTGACTAATGGACTCTGTATGATCAAACATAAATAGTACGCTCCACTAACTGCAGTCTTTGCCCCTCCCTTTCCCTCTTATTCTACCTGCCTCCTCGGTCACCTGCTCCCCTGCTGCCCACACCTTCCTTCCCTCCGAGGCCAACCTGTCCCTGAGGCTGCTGCTCCATCCCCCCAGCCCGGGCACCAAACATGTCATGTGAAGTCCAGGCCATCTTACGTCCTGTGCTCTGCTAACCCCTCACTGCGTTCACTGGTGACCTGGTGACCCCTTATTCGGCAGGGTCACCTGGCTCCTCGTCTTGCTGTCCCCCCACCTCCTCCCTGACCTGCTCCATCAGCAGCTCTAACCTTCACTAACTCTGCAAGCCCTTGACCTGCCTTTCCGTGGGTGACGGGGAGGGAAAGGTGCCCGACTGAAGACACTCCCTCTCAACCAGGGACCTGTCCTGCCCCCCGCTATCCTTCCCCTTTTCCTCTTCTCGGAAGAAAGGTCTCTCCCTGCCTGAGGCTGGCCCTGCCTCTACCCTGGCCTCCCCTCAGGTATCAGCTCCCATCAGCAGCCTCCTTCCCTTCCCACTGGCAGCTCCTGTGTCCGCCTGCACCCCGCACCCTCCCAGAACTTCCCACCGCAGCCCCGCTTCCCGCTTCTCGCACTAGTGAGAGTGGTCAGTCCTTCGTCTGCAGCGTCTTCGTTGTTCTTTGGCTGCTGCTCTCCCCGCCTCCCGGGAGGTTGGTTTCACCGGGGGGGGGGGGGGGGGGGGTGAGGGTCACTTGGACACAGCAACCTTTCTTTTTTTTATTCAGAGAAGGGAGAGAAACATCAGTGGTGAGAGAGAATCATGGACCGGCTGCCACCCGCACGCCCCACACTGGGGATCGAGCCCACCGCCTGGGCCTGTGCCCTGACCGGGAATCGAACTGGGACCTCTTGGTTCCCAGGTTGATGCTCAACCCCTGAGCCACACCGGCCGGGCAGGACACTGCACCTTTATCTTAGCTTCTCTGTTCAGAGTCGGCCCTGATAAGAACTGCCTCCCCGAGTCCCCACCGTGTTGGCTCATGGGTATTCAAGCGTCCTCTCTCTAAACATGTCGTCATTTTGCCACACGGATTCCTCCTCAGGACCTTTAGTGTTTCTTGCCTCAGTGGCTGGTATCACACCGGCTGGCTCCCTGCGCCAGAAACCAGGGAAGCTGCTCCGCTGAGGCCATGGTCCCCGCAGCCAAGGCCACCCGCCGTTCACGTCTGACCTTTGAAACCTTAAAAGCAAAAGCTTGTGGGAGCAGCTGGGAAGGCAGGGGTCAAAGGTCATCTCATGAACCAGCTGGGCCTGCCTTTCCTTGAAGACCCACGTCCGCTGTTGCACACACCCGCCCCGCCCGGTTCCTGCTGTCGGGCTGATGCCTCGTGCCTGCAGTGACTGCCTCCAGAATGTTCTCACCTTTCCAATCGGATCCTCCTACCATTGCACACTGACTCCCCACCTCCCCTCCCAGCCCTGGCAGCCCCTCCTGCCTTCTGTCCCTAGGAGTGCGATGACCTCTAGGTCCCTCACGCAAGTGGACTGGCTTACCCCACTTAGCATGACGTCCTCCAGATTCATCCATGTGCATGTGCAGAATGTCTGTCCTTTGTCAGGCTGAGTCATCTTGCCTGTGTGCACAGACCATATTTTGTTTATTTATCCCTCGATGGCTACTGTGAATAATGCTGCAATGAGCATGGGGTGGCCTGCTTTTACAATGCAACGAGAAGCATAAAACTGTTGGTATCTTTAAATGCTAACAGTTCTAATGGCACTATTCTATAATTTTAGTTGCCTATCATCACTTGAAAATCATTTGGGGTGGAATAGACTTCATCTTTGAGTGATGATATAGTCTGAAGAAACAAGTCATAGCTAAGCATCACAGAGAAATAGAGTGTTTGGGCTCCACCGGGGAGAGGAGGAGGCAGCTAGAGGGCTTGGTTTGGTTCTGGAAAGGGAGTGGGGTGTCAGGGAGGGAGGGAGGCGGGCAGAGAGAGCAGGGCCACAGTGAGCCGGAGCAGGGCTAGGTGGGTCGGGGTCACAGTGGGGTGGGAGCGGGGTTGGCTCTGCAGCCCCAGGCTGAGAACTCGGGTTTTTTGCCAACAGGAAAGGCAAAATGGGTCACCCCGGCAGTGCAGGCCGCCGATGCTGCGTCAGGCTAACTCATTCCCATCTGGAAGCCCTTTATTTCCATGTTATGGAAAATAACACCCCCAGTTAAATGCATGCCTCTGTTTAAAGAATAAACAAAGAACAGTGTCTGGCCCTGCTGACGTGGCTCCGTCACTGAGCATTGACCTGTGATCCAGAAGGTCACCGTTCGATTCCCGGCCAGGGCACATGCAAGCTCGATCCCCAGTGTGGGGCGTGCGGGAGGCAGCCGACCCATGATTCTCTCTCACCATTGATGTTTCTCTCTCTCTCCCTCTCCCTTCCTCTCTAAAATCAATAAAAAATATATTTATATTTTTAAATTTATAGCACCTGTTTTAAGGTTATTTTTCACGGTCTTTGTTTTTCAGATTTCTTGTTTAAATTCCTGGTTATCGGAAATGCAGGAACTGGCAAGTCGTGCCTGCTTCATCAGTTTATTGAAAAAAAATGTAAGTGACCTTGAGCCTCAACGTCCACACATGTCTTCCAGGCGCATCTCCTGCTCTGCTAGCCCAGAGCCCAACTTCTGAATGTATTTTCAGGAAAGCAGTCATAGTTTAAAATACTTGAAAAGAATGTTAAAAGTTTGTTATTGAGCTTTCTGTAATATGACTGAATTTTTATCATGTTAGCATTTCAGTTTTATTCATTTACAGTTGTGAGTGTGGGAAACAGTTTCATTCTTGCATTATCGCTTATTAATGTATTATTTCCATACGAACAACTGTCACCCTGCTTTTGCCCACCTTGCGTGAGATCCCTCGGGTGAGGGGTAAAATGGAGGGAAAGAGACAGCATGGGTGTCTTGGCCAGGAGCTTCGAGGACGGATAAAACTCTGGAAATGGCTTCTGCTCCTTCGTTGCCATCCACCGAGAGTTGGTCAGGGCCCGGGGCATGGCCCCGGGGGTGAGGCACGGACCAGGTTACTGATGGCACTGGGCGCTTGGTCCGTGTTTCCTTACCAGTTGCTGAGACAGCATCGTACCGTCTCAGAACAAATACCCAGAGGACCTTGGGGCAGGTGCCAGCCTGCCCGCCTCTCTCCCTCCCCTGATGGTCGCCCCCTACCTCCTGACGATGGCTGTCAGCATGGTCCGTGGGAATGATGGTCAGCTTCCACCGCCTTCCTCCTGTGGCCACGGTGAAGCAGGACGCCCCTGGCCTTCAGTCAGCACCCCTTGAAGGCTCTGACTCCGAGGTGTGCTGGTAGCTTGCTTCTAGCGGAGGTCCACGCTAGCCCTGCACCACCTGGGCGGGAGGCCGGAAGGGAGTCCGTTTTGACCTTGACCCCCGCCTCCAGGAGACCAAGCTCAGCTGTCACCTGGGTCCCAGGCTTCTGTGCAGTGACCTTTGTCTTGCAGTGTGAATAGAAGCTGGTCGGTGGCCTGGTAGCCAGGGGCACGTTTAGCCCGTCCTTCAGCACCACACGTTCTGCAGGCAGCTCGTTGCGGTTGGGGTTAGCAAACTGCTTGTCTGCCTGCTCCCTGCCATGCAGGCCCATGGTGTGGGCTGCGCCTACAGTCCATCCCAAACACTGCCGCACGGCACACGCTCCTGGAAGCTCACGGCTGCACTGCGCAGAGTTCTGTTTGGGGGGTTGCTTTTTGATTTGTTTTGTTTACTCTTATCTTTTTCCCCCCTTAATCTTTGGTCTCCATCAGGTTTCTTTTGGGGGCTTTTTATTGCCTCTTATTTCTTTAGAATGTTTACCAAATAGCTGAAACCCTCCCTCCCTCATTATTGGCCGAGTCGCAGGTCTGTCCTGGGAGGTGGGTCCTTGAAGGCGGCCCCGGGGATGTAGTGCAGCTCCGGTGTGAGCTCAGCGGGGACCGGGCGCCCGGCCCGCATTCGGCTCGCGCTAGGCTGTGAGTGTCTGGTTTGTCGTAGGGGTTTTGAGAAAGCGCTGTGTTGTCTCTGAGAACAGGGACTGTGCGTTGTTTCAAACTGCGTGCTTACCAGCCGACCGTTGAAATGAATGGCTGCGTGAATGGCATTCTCCATTGGTTAAGCCTTGACCTCCGTGTCGCTTGTTTACATCTGTAAGCCTGCTCCTAATGTTCTGGAACGAAATGTCTTGTTCTTTTTCTTTTCCAGTCAAAGATGACTCCAATCATACCATAGGAGTGGAATTTGGTTCAAAGATAATAAATGTTGGTGGTAAATACGTGAAGTTGCAGATATGGGATACAGCCGGCCAGGAGCGATTCAGGTAGCTCTAACATGATGAAACTATTTGAAGATTGCATTAGAAATGGTCAATGACTATGTTCTCCTAACCTGTGCGGCCCCCCAGCCCTGTGCTCAGATGTTAGGGACTTCCCCTCAGAAGCTTTAAGAAACAAGCAGAAAGTCAGTTTCTGGGCTGCCTCCTGCACACCCCGCACTGGGGATGGAGCCCGCAACCCGGGCCTGTGCCCTGACCGGGAACCGAACCGTGACCTCCTGGTTCATAGGTCGATGCTCAGCCACTGAGCCACACCGGCCGGGCGCAGCGTCCACTACCTAAAGGGTCCATGGAAGTCTGTCTGGAGGCAGTGCCCCTCTTAGAGCACGACTTGTCCCAGCCGATGTCCCCACCCCCGTCGTCCCTGTGACCTGATGAGACAAGAACAGCTGCTCATGTTCAGATTCTGAATCGTGTCTTAAGGCGGCACCTGGCTGTTTGCCAGGCCCAGCGGGTGCTTCTGAGCAGGGACACGGTGCCCAGTGGCCCGGCTCTCGGTGGTCAAAGTGAGCGCGTGCCTCTTTCAGGTCCGTGACCAGGAGCTACTACAGAGGCGCCGCCGGGGCCCTGCTCGCCTACGACATCACCAGGTAACGCAGCCCCACCCGGTCCAGGCGCACCTGCGCCCAGGGGTGCCCGCGGCTGTGGGGCTGGGAGTCGGGGAGCCCTCGCCCTTTCCCTGGGGCCTCGGAGGCTCGGAGCAGCCCTGCCAGGACGGCACCCGTAAAGGAGCATGTGCGTCAGGTCAGAGGAGCATCGCTGTGTTTGTTAACACGATGCTTTGACACGTCCCTGAAGGTTCTCGAAGGGCAGCCTCACCTGGGTAAATTGTTAACAATACTTTTTTTCACATTTTTATTGATTTCAGAGAGGAAGGGAGAGAGAAACATCCATGATGAGAGAATCATTGATCGCTGCCTCCTGCATGCCCCCTACTGGGGATCAAGCCCACAACCCCAGGTCTTGACCAGAATTGAACCTGGGACCCTTCAGTAGGCAGGCTGACACTCTATCTACTGAGCCAGACCGACCAGGGCTATTAGCAGCACTTGACATTGACCGAGGTTGAGGGCACAGGCTGTGGCTCCCAGCGCCTGGCAGCTGGTCCCGTTCTGGTCCCGTGTGGCGTCCTCAGGCGAGGTGCTCCCGCTTCCCTGTCACGTGGGTGATGGGGATGGTGTGGTCCTGGTGCGGTTACCGGGCAGCTCAGTGAGTTACTGCAAAGCCCCGGCACAGCATAGGGGTCCCAGCCTGCACCGTCCTGTGTGTCCCTGTCATCCATGTCACAATGAAAGGACATTCACAGGTCGGCTCCTGGGTCTCACTCACCCCGTGTCAAGTGCTCAGGAGCCACGTGGTGCAGGTGCTGCAACTCGCCTCCTGCAGAAACCCAATGGGTCTGAGGCAGCCCCGGCACAACGCTCCCCGCTGGGTCTTTCTGGGGAGGAACTTGCCCACTAGGGGGCGCTGCTCTACGGACACATGCCTGCCTGTGTGTGGCAATGAGGCGCTCTGACAGAGGTGCGCAGCTCCGGCCTGACCCACCCCACGCACCAGTGGCGACAGGCGCAGCTGGCGGCCAATGCATGGAGGCTGAGGCCATCACGGGTGCCAGGAGAGGCGTCCTTGTACAGAAGCACAGTGGCCACCTATCAGCAAAGCCCTGCTGTGACCTGGCAGCGAGGGAGCTCCGTGTCCCAGGAGCTCAGTCAGTATTTGCAGAATGAAGGATGGACACAGGGACTTTCTCCTTTTGCACCTTCACGGGGTAACAGAAAGCAGCCGAGGCCATTTCCCCGGAGACAGCAGAGCGAACCCTGTGGGTGTGGTGTGCACGGGTGTCGGGCTGTCTGGTTGCCTAGAGGTGCTGGTGCGCCCCTGGCGTGGCTGGCGCAGTGTGAGTGTGTGAACGAGCGGGAAGAGTTGCCTGTTGTATAAAATACATGTATTATTCTCACAATCTTATGTTACGCAGCCGAGAAACCTACAATGCGCTTACTAATTGGTTAACAGATGCCAGAATGCTCGCCAGCCAGAACATCGTCATCATCCTCTGCGGGAACAAGAAGGACCTGGACGCGGACCGGGAAGTGACTTTCTTAGAAGCCTCCAGATTCGCTCAAGAAAATGGCAAGTGACCTTTGACCTATGGCTGCTGCTCTGATGGCAGGTGTGGGGGTCATAGCATTGCTTTCAGCATAAAATGGCTCCTGGGGTTTTAAGGTTGAACTATATTTAGGAAAAGCAGACCTTCCAGTTGTTGACTGCAGATTGAGACATTTAGCCTATTTTCACAGTATGTCATCTGCCCATACGGTTACTGTGATGATAAAAGCAAAGGTGTTAATGTTCCATGATGACTTTCAGGCTAGGATCGTTACATGTTACAGGTCTTGGTTTAAAGTAAAATGGATAACAAAATTCTTAAAGGCTCTAGTCAGATGATGTCATGTTTTTGATGTAGTTTGACACGAAGATGGTGTATCAGATCACATCCATTTTTCTCTCTCTCCCTCCCTCCCTCCCACTGTCTGTAAAGCCATGGAAAAAACATACTCATGTGAGGATTTTAAAAAGATAGATAAATAGATAGATAGATAGACGGATGGATGGATGATAGATAGATGAAAGAGAGAAAGAGAGAGAGAGAGAGAGAGAGAGAGAGAGAGAGAGAGAGAGAACGAACATCAGCCACCATGAGCTCATAAAGAAGCTGGTTAGGAATACAGAGGCTCAGACGTGGAGGCTCAGGGGGTTTAGGTGTCATCTAAAGGCACCTCCTTTCCCACATGGGGAACTGTGGCCCCAGAGGCTGAGGTGCTGCAGGAGTTCGGGCCGCTGCCTGCTGGGCTGGGGCTGCTCTGTACAGAAGTGGGAACTCGCGGAAGCCCTCCTCATGGTCAGAATGACAAGCTGCAGTGTAGCCCCCCAACGTAAACACTTGCACGTTATATCTGGGGTGACGTGAAGCTCATTGTTACGTGTCTGTATGCGCAGCCAGCCTGGGCCCTCACCTCACATTGGCTTGCTCCTTCTCGCCCTCAGATGGAGGTGCTGGTACCAGATGCCAGTGCTTCTCAGAAAAGGGTGGGCCGCTTCTAACGTTTAAAAATAGATATTGACACTTACTGGCTTTATATTTACAGAGCTACATGGTTTTAAGTAATAAATGACAGTCCACCTGCTACTCGAGGGCAATACTAAACAGGCTCTTAGGAATTGGGTAATTCTGATCGTCTCCTAAACGTGGCTGTGCGTTTTGTCTCCTGTCCCTTTTAGAACTGATGTTTTTGGAAACGAGCGCCCTGACGGGGGAGAATGTGGAAGAGGCCTTCGTTCAGTGCGCAAGGAAAATCCTTAACAAAATCGAATCAGGTAACCTTCACTGGGCCGGGCTCCTTGGGCATGTGGGTCGTTGCCACAGATAACGCGTGAATAACCTTTTGTCATTCACTTCGCGCGTGTGAATGTCCGTGTAGGATCAGTTCCCCGGGGGGACTTGCTGGTCAGGGACCTCCAGCTTCTGGAATGGAGGTCAAGGCCGTCACCTCCTGTCGGGGGCTGCAGCAGCCGGCCCTCCCTCCCCACCACGGGCCAGGAATGAGAGGCTCCTTCCACTGAGCCCTGCTGTGTCATTTTACCAGCCTGGTGGGTGAAAAGGGATGTCTTTGTAGTTTAATTTTACATTAACTTACCTTTATGTGCATCATTAGTCACATGAGTTCCTAAGTCAACAAGTACAAAGAAAGGGTACAGTGACAGGCCCCTCCACTGCTGCCCGCCCGTCCCGTCTGAAGTCAGCCATTATTACCAGTTCTCTGTGCCTTTCAGACCTTTGTGCTGTGCAAGTAAACTTGCATGTATCTATATTTTCCTCTTTATGAGAAACAGGGGTGTGTGTGCATGGTAGATATTTGTTCCTGAATGTATTTGGGGGTCACAGAAACAAAAACCTTTTTTAAAAGACTCGCTTGTTCCTCAGGTGAGCTGGACCCAGAAAGGATGGGCTCAGGCATCCAGTACGGAGACGCGGCCTTGAGGCAGCTGCGCTCGCCGCGCCGCTCGCAGGGCCCGGGCGCTCAGGAGTGCGGCTGCTAGACCAGCGGGAGGGCAGAGGTAGGTGCCCCCGTCAGGGGCCCTGGGGCCCCCCCCCCCCCCTTCACTGCCTGGTTTTCCACACGCGCCTCATGCAGGGACTATTACAGGCCTTGCAGCTACACCTGGGAAGGAGAGGCGGGCACATCGTTACGTGTTAGGTATTCTCGGGAGTGGAATACTCCCTCTTCTCAGGCTCACATGGGACATTCACCAAATAGACTACATTCTGGGCTATAAAACTCACATTAACATATTTAAAAGAAAACAAACCCTACAGTGTCTGTTCTCAGACAACAGAAGGATAACTGGGAAATCCAAAATACATGGAAATTAACATACTTCTGAATAACTTGTGTTAAAAAAGAAATCTCGAGAATTTTTAAAATATTTTAAGCAAAAATTTTTTTTAACCCAAATGAAAATCAAAACATGACAGCCCTAGCCGGTTTGGCTCAGTGGATAGAGCATCGGCCTGCGGACGCAAGGGTCCCAGGTTTGATTCCGGTCAGGGGCATGTGCCTCGGTTGCGGGCACATCCCCAGTAGGAGGTGTGCAGGAGGCAGCTGATCGATGTTTCTGTCTCATTGATGTTCCTAACTCTCTATCCCTCTCCCTTCCTCTCTGTGAAAAATCTATAAAATATATTTTTTAAAAAAACACAAAAAAAAACATAACATTAAAATTGGGGGGATGCAGCAAAAGCAGTGCTTAGAGGGAAATATATAGCATTGAATGCATATATTAGAAAAGAAAACCTAAATACAGTCCCTATGTGTACACACAGAGAAAAGGAGGAAAAAAGAGCAAATTAAATCCAAAGCTGGCAGAAGAAATAAGAATTAGAACAGAAATTGATGAAATTAAAACTAAAATCAGTAGAGAAAAATCAACAAAACCAAAGCTAAAAGATTAAAAAAATCAGTAAGCTTCTAACCAAGCTAAGAAAAAAAGATCGCAAATTACAAATATCAAAAGTGAAAAAAAGAACATCACTAAGCAGATCCTATGGACATTAAAAGGAAAACTCTGAACAGCTCTACATCCACAAATTTGATGACCTAAAAGGTGGTCGGCAAACCTCAGCTCGTGAGCCACATGAGGCTCTTTGGCCCCTTCAGCGTGGCTCTTCCACAAAATACCGGCTCTTCCACAAAATACCGACTTCTGCGCATGGGCCACGAAGTTTCAATCCCACCGTACATGCGCGCCCATACGTGGTATTTTGTGGAAGAGCCGCACTGAAGGGGCCAAAGAGCCGCATGTGGCTCACGAGCCGCGGTTTGCCAAGCCGCAGACCTAGATGAAATAGACCAATTCCTTGAAAGACTCAATTTGTCAAAACTCACACAAGAAGAAACAGACCATTAGAATAGGCCTACTAGTATATCTATTAAAAAAAAATGAGCCAGTGATTAAAACCTTCCAAAACAGAAAGCATCCGTCCCAGATGGGGTAACTGGTGAATTCTGCCGAACATTTAAGGGAGAAATTACACGGATTTTCTGCAGTCTCTTTCTTAGGGCACATGCAGAGGAAATGCTCCTGAACTCGTTCTGTGCGGCCAGCATTGCCCTCATTCCCAAACCAAAGACATTACAAGAAAACGACAGACCAATATCTCGAACACAGATGCACAAATCCTCAAAAAAATATTAGCGAATGAAACCCAACAGTGCACAGAGAGAACCACATACCCTCTCCGCGGGGTTTATCCCTGGCGCCAGCTGTCGGCATCCCACAGGCTGGGCCATCCTGAGGCTCTCGCTCAGGAGCGAAGGAGGGGCGGAGTTGCTGGGAGTATCAGTCTTCTGCCACCAGGTCGGCGAGGCGGCTTTCTGGGGTGAATTGAAGTCTGAATGAATGTGCCTGTTGCTAAAAGAGGAGGCTCATTTGTCAAATTCTCAAGTGGAGACTTTAACTTTGTAAAATATGTTTTATGGATTTCAGAGAGAAAGGAAGTGGAGGGGGGAGGTGACATCCATGATGAGAGAGAATCACTGATCGGCTGCCTCCTGCACGCCCCCCACTGGGGATGGAGTCCACAACCCGGGCATGTGTCCTGACCGGGAATTGAACTTGACCTCCTGGTTCATAAGTCGATGCTCAAGCCCTGAGCCACACCAGCCAGCAGGATTTTAACTTTAAAGCGTCCTCTTTTTCCCATTTACCACAGTGGCCTTTTGACAGATAGTCAACGTTATCTAGTAGGCAGCCATTGGAATAAAAGTTGGAAGTATTCACTACTCCCTTCGGGGTTTGAAACTGCTTGTTTGTACATTGACAGTTATGCATATTTCTAAATCGTTCTTCATATTTTGTAGGTGTTCGAACAGTGGTATTTGGGAAGCAATTGTTGGAGCTGAAGAAGAAGTTTTTTTACCACCATCCTTTTCTACTTTATGCAGAAGTAGATCTTTGTGCAGGAAAAAAAAGTGATTGGGTGTGTGTAAGCCTGTAAATGTGCACAGCAAACCACGTGGTAAATCGAATTCCATGGACAATGCCATGAAGTGTACATGTATGTAAACTGTCCTGTCCCATGTTCCCTTCCCTGGGGTTAATCCTGGCTGTGTACTGTATATACTCGAGCCCCCGTGTCCCTGCAGCATGGTATCTCATGTATGATATAATAGAATGTTACACTAACGGCGGTCCAATATTTTATTTTTTGTAACCATATGAACGAAAGCCTGCAGGTGTGAGTGCGCCTGGCCCCTCGCGCTGGCTGTGTCGCACGTGGGTGATGTTCGTGACCTGCTCCGCTCCGCGGCGGTGGCCAGGGCAGAGCGGTTCATGCCGTTTGCCGCGGTCCGCGGGGCGTCTCGGGGCGTCGCCGGGAGCGCTGTCAGTAATTAGGCACCGAAATAAAGCCCAAATGGAGTTTTCCTCCGAACCTGACTGTCCCGCACTCTGTTGGTTTTAAAGCATCTCCATCCGGGTCCACTCAGGAGGGAGGCCCAGTCCCTGCTGCTCTGGGCGCTGCGGCCCCCCAGGCCCCGGCCTCACCAGACGTGAGGGTGATGGACAGCGGGCCCCTGGTCCTGCCGGAAACCACAGGGCTCGGGCCTCACTGCCGCTTTCCAAGCCTGTTTCTGTCCCGTGTTCCTTCTAAGGAAACCGCTCAGTGGCGTTGATATTAAAGGGATGCCACTGAGGCTCCGCACGGTGTTGCTGAACACTTCACGCCTTAGTCATCAGGTCCACACGCGGCTGACTCACGTGAGGCTGACGATGTATGTGGTATTGCAAGGACTCGTCCTAATATTTTAAAACGTCAATGAAAAACACAAATAGAACCGTTCTTTCCCGCTGAAGCTGGAAAGGGAAAGGCATCTTCGCTCGGATGCGCTCTCCCACTGGCCTCTCTAGTTCCCGCTGAGCCCACCCCGCGGCTGCGGCTGCTTTGCGGTCTGGTTTTGTTCGACAGAGCGAACGGCAGTACCGCCCTGGGAGGCACCTGGCATAAAACATCAGTACGCATCCGTCTTAGCTCTTTCCCTTTTGCGTTTAAAAAGCCTGGGTATTTTACTCTGGAAAGATGGAGCAGGAAGCCGATTCTCGGACGGGGCTCCCGGGCCGACCTCCCTGGAAGCGGTCCGGCCAGTGCCTCTGGCCTCGTCCTTCGTTCACCGGCAGGAGTGTTTAAAGAGAAGTGGGAGGCTGGTTTGTAAGCGAGTCTGTTAGCGCAACCACAGGTACTGCAGACGCCTTCCACATCCTCTGACCAATAAAAGTTGCTGGATTCCAGCCCCCGGTGATTCTCAGGGAGAGCATTCAGGGGAGGGGGGGGGAGCCGAGGGGATTGGCCAGTGCAGGGCTCCCTGGCACCACCAGCCGATCCTGGCTCCCAACAACAGGGGCGTGTCCTGCAATGGTTCAGTTCCCACGCTGTCCACCTGGGGGCAGTATCGGACCCCACAGGCACACACCTCAGGCGCCAACCACAAGAGTCCAGGTAGTTCCCTGTGCTGCCCACCTGGCCATAATCCGCGTTCCCACACCCCTCCTTGGGTGCAGCTCGCAGCGGTTCTCAACCTGTGGGTCGCGACCCCTTTGGCAGTCAAACGACCCTTTCACAGAGGTCGCCTAAGACCATCCTGCATCTCAGATATTTACATGACGATTAATAACAGTAGCAACATGACAGTGATGAAGTAGCAACGAAAATAATTTTATGGCTGGGTCACAACATGAGGAACTATTTAAAGGGCCAGAAGGTTGAGAACCACTGAGCTAGAGCAGTGTGGATCAGTGGTTGAGCATCAATCTATGAACCAGGAGGTCACGGTTCGATTCCCAGTCAGGGCACAGGCCCAGGTTGCGGGCTCCATCCCCAGTGGGGGGCATGCAGGAGGCAGCCGATCCATGGTTCTCTCTCATCATTGATGTTTCTCTCTCTCTCCCTTCTGAAATCAATAAACATATTTTTAAAAAGGAAGCCATTTATTCTGTAAGCAGCACCCGCACGGGCTTGGAGCACCGTGGTTATGGAGCAGCCGCACGGGAGCCCCTGGGACATCAGGAAAGTGGGGCGGGGGTGCCCTCGGAAGGCGGGGGAGCAGCAGCCTGGCCTACTTAGCCAGGGCCCAGGTCCCGCGGAAAAGACCTGATGAGCTTCAGCTGCTTTCACTGTTGGCTTAACAGGCTTGTTAACATGTTATTCCTTCGAAAACCTGAGTCTTTTTTAATATATGCAAATTCGGCTATTTTATTTACTCCTCATTCAAGGATTTTCTTATCGATTTTAGAGAAAGGAAAGGAAAGAGAGAGAAGGTGGGAGAGCAATGCGAGAGAAACATCGACCAGTTGCCTCCCGTACATGCCCCCACCTGGGACTGAAGCCGCAACCTTCTGGCCTAAGGTACAACGCCCCCACCCACAGAGGCACCCAGCCAGAGGAAAAGAGTCAGTCTTTTTAGTGAAATTCCAGGGTTTTTATACCCTTCTACCCCAAAAGCTCAGCACTTGAAATACGGTAATATTCACAGCGCCCTCCCAGCCAGGTTCAAGACCTGGCCAGGTGCAGCCTGCCCTCACCCCCACCCCCACCCCTGGGCCCCAGTCTGGCTTAAGAATCACCAGTTTGGAATCTCCAGGCGGGTGGGGGAGGGCATAGGGAGAGTGGGAACGTCGTTTATGTCCCGTGTTTTCTCTAGATTTTAAAAGACAACTAATACAGCCCATGCCTCTGGGAAATCAGGAAAACAGGTCGCTTACCGGATTGATGGCTTATTCTAAGAGACAGGAGCTCAGGAATCGTCCGACGAGGAGATGCGCAGGGCAAGGTGTGGGTGAGCACAGAGCCTCTGCACCCCTCTCCAGGGCACCCTGCTCCCCAACCTCTGCGTCCACCACCCAGCTCCGTGCCCAACACCAACCTCCAGCCCCTGTTCCCGCCCCGGAAGTGGGAGGGCAGGAAGGAAAGCCCATCCTCCAATCACGGGCCGGCTCCCAGGCAGCCAGCCCCATCCTCAGGTGTATCCACGCATCACCACATTAGCATACACAGGTGTGCTGGAAAGGGCTGTTGCAGGAATGGACAGCAAGCCACCAAACACTGAGTCTGTTGCTCTTTCTTCATTCCCAGCGTCCAGACTTCCTCCTGGTATTCCCTCTCTTTTGTCTGAATTGCACCCTTGCCCGGCCGGCGTGGCTCAGTGGTTGAGTGTTGACCAATGAACCAGGAGGTCAGGGTTCGATTCCCGGTCAGGGCACCTGCCACGGTGGCCAGCTTGATCCCCAGCCAATCAATGATTCTCATCATTGATGTTTCCATCTCTCCCTCTCCCTTCCTCTCTGAAACCAGTAAAATAAAAATTTTTTAAAAGGACATCCTCACCTATTCCTTGAAAGCAGCTCATCTGGCCATCAGTTCTCCACGTTTCCTTTACCTGGTCGGGCTCCTGAGGGACGTTTCACTGGGTATAGAATTCTGAGTTGACAGTTACTTGCTTTCAGCACTTCGCATGTGCCACGTCCTCCTGGCCTCCTTAGATGAACAAACTCACTGTCGTTTGAAACGTCGTTTCGCTGTAGGTAATCTTTCCTTTTCTCTAGTTGCGTTCACATGCCCTTTGGTTTTCAACCGTTTGCGATGGTCCTGGGGGGGCTGGGGTGTCTCCCGTTCACTCCGCCTGCTCGGGCAGTTTCCGCCATCAGGTTTGGGTCGCAGGTTCTGTGGGTGTCGGTTCCCATGTCAGTTCAGCTTTCAGAGCCCAGTGCTGTGGAGATCAGTCCCAGGTGTCCCCCAGGGGGTCAGCCCAGACGCCAGCTCAGGCCTCCGGGGTTTGCTATGCTAATTAGGACCAGCTCCACGGGTAAAAGGTGTGAGCAGGTGAGCGGGGCAGGGGCGAACCTGGGTCCACAGATAAACTTGGTGGAGTTACTTTCCTGAGCTCTTCCCTCTCTGCACTACCTGCTGGTTCCTTGAGACTCCCCGTTACTGGGCCTTCAGCCCCAAAATGCCCACTTTTGTCACTGAGCCATGTCCTTCAGAGAGAAAAAATCACATGTCTCAGCCTCACCCTCTTCAGTGAAGGAAGTTCCTGCCTCGGACCCGGGCTCCTGCAGGCTCCCCTTGGCAGCCGCGGGGTGAGCTGGGGGCTCCCGCACGAAACACGGAGGAAATGGAGAAAGGGGTGCCCCCCCCGCCCCTGCTCACTGAGTGTTCACAGCTCCTTTCTGTCCCTCAACCAGACGTCGCCACGACCCGGCACCTCTGTGCCCATTTCTACACTGTATTCGGGCTGGGAGATACCAAGCCATTTTTTAAGAGGATTTTTTAATTATTAATACTTTTTAAAATATGTTTATTGGTTTCAGAGAGGAAGGGAAAGGGAGAGAGAAATATCCATGATGAGAGAGAATCATTGACTGGCTGCCTCCTGTGCGCCCCCTACTGGGGATGGAGCCCACAACCCGGGCATGTGCTCTGACCGGGAATCGAACCCTGACCTCCTGGTTCATAGACAGACACTCAACCTCTGAGCCACGGATAGTTCGACTCAACACCCGTAGAAAGTATCGAACGCATCTTGCTAAACCTTTCTCTGATGACACACCCATCGAGGAGTCGATGTGACCGCACCTGTTCAACCGCGGACGTGCTCACCAGAATCCGTCCCCACAAAGCAGAAGTCCCAGCGGGTCACAGTCACTCACTTTATTCACATTTTTTTCCAAGTCACTGCGATATTAAATAGAAGCAAAAAGCAATACATGGATCTTAGAAAAGGCAGCCCCCGCCCCCAGGGCCTGAGCGGTGAGGCCCTAATCGCCCGGGCGCTGTTCCCGTGGAATGGTACTGAACGCAGTGCTCACACTGAACTTACCACACGGGGAGTTTTGCTAATTATTATTCTTATTTTTAATCCAAAAAGGAGCTTCTACTGTCTTCCTTCAGGTGTCCTGCCTGAACGAACACCTTCATCCAGGTGTTCCCACCTCATACTAGCGGGCTGGCGGGGACAGATTGGGCCGGAAACCTCCACGCAGCTCCTGGCACAGAATTCGCTATGAAGCACACACATCCTGACCCCCAAGAACCCCACTTCCTCCGATTGCACAAACACCCACTTCTCACGCTAACATCCTGAAGTGGCCGGCTCACATTTTCGGGGACCACTTTTAAAATATCGAACGATCGCAACACAATCCCAGGGGCCTTCTGCGTCAGGCGTTAGCGGTTTGGTCCCCAACCGACGCAGAACCAGGCTTTAGCAACCGCAGCACCATTTTAAATCGAGCCCAGTGACGTGTAAAATGATCCACTAGACAATTTTTTGACCAAAGCTGTCAACAAGAAAAGTCTTTATTTCTAACATAGCTTTCACCTCACTCCCTCTTCACCAGTAACACTTCGGAATGTTTTAAGGATCAGGCACTGTAACCCTCCACATATAAAATCTCTGCCCAGGAGAGCATTATCAATTTAAAGAAGGAGAAAAATACCCTAGAGGTTGTTTTTTGTGTTTTTTTTTAACCTACAAATGGTGCAGTATTCTGGTTTTGTGGTTTTGTTTTAATATATATTCTTTATTGATTTCAGAGAGGAAGGGAGAGGGAGAGATAGAAACATCCATGATGAGAGAGAATCATGGATCGGCTGTCTCCTGCACGCCCCCTACTGGGGATCGAGCCTGCAACCGGGAATGGAACAGTGACCTCCTGGTTCACAGGTCAACGCTCAACCACTGAGCCACGCTGGCCGGGCCAGTATTCTGTTTTGGATGTTATGGTTTCCAATAACCCAAACAGCCACCATTCTTCCAGGGGACTTGTTACCTGAGTTTCCCAGCATAAAAGTAACAAAGCTATCTAATATTAATAAAAGGCCTGAGGCCGAAACACCTTAACGCTGTAACGACCAAAGACCTGCGCGGGTGGGTGGGGCTGTGCGATTTCGTGCGCTGGGCTTCTAGTTACATATAAAGTGGCATAAATAAGCGCCCACTATAAGATGAGCCATAAGAGAATTCCTTTATAAACTTTTAAAAATGTTTCTATGTGCTTAGGAATTTCATGGGGAGGGGTGGCACCCACATACCCAGAGGTACCGAGTCGTCTTTCAGGTTTTTTAAAAAAAATAAAAAGAATGAATTCCATTTTACTTCTCATTCACCTAGGTCCAGCGAGTGCCAATGTGAAGCCTTTGACTTCTCTTAATAACAGTAACACAGAAACTTGGCAAATTGTTTTAATTCCGAGCTTAAAGCCAACATTTTGAAAGTCTATGTAGCAATGATTTTATTCCATCGTTTAAATATCCCTGGCTTCTCGAGCAGTTTCAAACTTTGCACCATGAAAGGGGATTTTACACTACCTGCTTGTTTTGCAAGTCCGCCCAAGACTTAAAGAACGTGATTACATATTCGTTTCTAGACCATCAAATCGTTACAACTTAAAACATTTCATAGGCTCAAAAGTTAACTTGAAACCTTTATGACTTGGACACAGGAGGGGTCTCACAATTCATTTGTGTGAATCTACTCATTGTTCATGCACATTAAAATTACTTTAAAAATCTTGGTCATCTGTCCTTTATTTAAAAAAGGGTGGTGGTGGGGGGAGCCCTAGCTGGTTTGTCTCAGTGGATAGCGCGTCGGCCTGTGGACTGAAGGGTACGGGGTTTAATTCCAGTCAAGGGCACGTACCTCGGTTGCAGGCTCCTCCCCGGCCCGGGCCCTGGTCAGGGCATGTGCAGGAAGCAACCAATTGATGTCTCTCTCACATCGATGTTTCTCTCTGTCCTTCCCTGTCCCTTCCACTCTCTCTAAAAATCAATGGGAAAATATCCTGGGGTGAGGAGAAGGTGGGAAATGGCCAGTATTGCCCTCTAGGTTTTCCCAGATCACCCCCTGGGCTGTCAGGAGTAAGCTCATTAAATACAAGTGTTTCCTGAAGGAAGGGGTGTGGCTTATTGAAAGCCTGGAGGAAGCTGGGTCTCTTTAAAAAAAAAAAAATGTTTTTATTAATTTCAGAGAGGAAGGGAGAGGGAGAGAGAGAGAGAGACATCCATGATGAGAGAGAACCATGGATCGGCTGCCTCCTGCACGCCCCACACAGGGTATGGAGTCTGCAACCGGGAATCAAACCGTGACCTTCTGGTTCATAGGTTGACGCTCACCCACTGAGCCACACTGGCCGGGCGGGAAGCTGGGTTTCTAAGGCAGTCTGTCGGGGTGCAGGTGCGGAGTTGGGGGGGTGGGAGGGATCTCTTCCCTAAGATTGTCAGTTGCAACATAAGCACTTGGGCGGAATGGCTAACCCCGAACCCGGACAGCAGGGGGTGGCCTGACCATCGGCGACACCGCACCCCCAGTCCTTGCAGGGTCTCAGGGCTTTAACGGCCACAGCAAGAGCGACCAGCACCCCTCGCAGGGCCGCGCCGGACCCCAGCGAGCCTCCTCCTGTTCAATTCACCCCTCACCGAGCAGGAGCGCGCTCTGCCCAGTGACTCCCCTCAAAACGCCCCCACACCAGCTTCAAAGTCTTTTTAAAAAAATAAATAAAAGCTCCTGGCCCTTCCGTAGGAGTTTCCAAAGCTTAACACCGTTGTCAGTCGACATCATGTGAAGTTTTATGTGGAATAAGACACACGTGTGTTCTAAAGAGCGAGCATCATCCTGCAAAGACCCAGAGGAGAGGAGAAGAACCAGGAAAACGCTCCACCTCGCACCCAACACCAGCTTCGCCTCCACACCCTCCCGGCGCCCGGCTGGCCAGGCACCCGTCTCCCCTGCCCACGGGATTCAGCACCCATCCCTCCTGTAGACCCTCCGCCGGGTGGGAGCCAGGGTTTCCTAAAACCACTCTTTCTTCCCCAAAAGCAAGTGGACTGCGAGACGGAGCCCTTCATTCCTGCACAGCCTCCCACGGACACCCACACACCGTTCTGCATGAGGCCTGCTGGCTAGGAATGGATTCCAACCGGAGCCTGAATGTGCCACGGTCACGCTTCGCCATCGGTGAGGTCCGTGGAGGGAAAAGTCGAGAAGTTCAGGGGTGGGGGGGCATCCCGAAGGGCACCTGACTGACGGCCCCTCACCCCCCACAAGCAAGCAAGACCGGCTCCGTTTACTCCCTGGGATTCCAGGCCGTCCTGAATGCCACGCCCACGGTCACGGGAGAGAGGGGTCCGCCTCTAGGAAAATCTCACAATAAAAAAGCAAAACGACAGACGGTCTGACTCCCAGGACACGCCAGCGTCCGCTCCGCACCCTGGAACGCATCTGACCTGCGAAATGACAGGCGCCCACGCGGTGGCTTGAGGACAGCGGACGCTCCCCGAGCCCAGGAAACTCGTCGCGATCACAGCCGCCCGCGGTGCTGAACCGAAACACGACGCAGGTTCCCGCTGCGTGACACGCGGATCCACGTTCCTGCCGAGACTCCCGTGGACGTGACACTGGCTCACGCCAGCACCGTGAGTCTGATGCCAACGACGGGAGGATCTACCGTGGAATCTGGAAAAGCTGCTCAGGTAGGGACGAAGGAGGCCCCGCCTGCCCCAAACTCCCGGGAAAAAATACCGAGTCTGAAGCATCTCTAGCCATTTTAAAGGCATTGGGTGTCGATGTCTGAAAAGATTAAGATGCTTTGAGACGAAACCCGCACAGGGAGAGCAAAGACGTAGGGCGTTATCTTCGTCAAGAAGCAAACGTCGATGGCTTCGCGGTCGCCTGCTGCCCAGGCCGGGGCCCGGGGCGCCCCCAAAGGGCAGCATCTTTAGGGAACCCCCTAAGGAACCTGGCACCAGGGGCTGGTTTCTCACACCCACGTCCTGGTCCTTCTGATGTTTGCAGTTTTGATAGTTTGTTCTCTTTTATTGGTGCTTCTCAAGGAGGCGGTGCCAGCGGCCTCCCCCGTCACGCGCGGGCCGAGTAGCATCGCATGTACTCCGTGACCCACGGGCTCTCCGAGGCGGCCGGCTTGGCCCTCCTGCTCTTCTCCACGTCCACCGAGTGCGCCCGCTGCCTCTGAGCCACCAGCCGCCTCTTTTCCACCTGCCTTCTGTTCTTGGCCCGTAGCGCCGACTCGTGAATCTAAGGAGAGTTCATAAAGGAAAAAAGGAGAAATAACGTCAGCGGCTTTTTGAACAGATTTGCAAGGATATCTGAATGTTTAATATTTAAATTTTAAATATTTCATATTTGCAAGGATAACTTAAGTGGCTTTGGAACTGATTTGTGCTCGGCCGGTGTGGCTCAGTGATTGAGCATCATTGGACCCACCAACCAAGAGGTCCCCAATTCGGTTCCCAGTCAGGGCATATGCCAGGGCTGTAGGCTCGATCCCCACTGGGGGGCGTGCAGGAGGCAGCCAATCAATGTTTCTCTCTCATCGATATTTCTATCTATTCCTCTCCCTTCCTCTCTAAAAATCAACAACATATTTTTAAAAAAAATAATATTTACAATGAGGTCGCCAGAAGCGGGCAGAGGCACGCCCAGTCCTCCCCCCCCGCCCCCCCGCCCCGACTCTCAGCACAGAAGTCAGTCCCCCTGGCCTCCGTGACATGCCCACGCACCTGAAAATGTCCACTGGACTGACCTCCAGACATAAATGGTGAGCCGCTCACTGGCATGAGTCTCTAGAAATGGGCTCTGGAAAATTACTGGATCCGCTTAGCATTCAGCATGGGCACATATTCCATTAAAGGACTTGAAATGTTTTACAGCAAAACAGTTAAAAAGAAAAAAAAAATCCTCCGGGGATTTTGCCACCTCGGACATTTGATGCCATAGATAAACCTGGTGAAAGCTCACCCCGGGGACCGGGCGGCCTTTGTTAAACCCCAGCTCCGTTGTCTCAAATATCCCTCTAGCTCACGCCATCTGCCAGGGTTTAGAAGGCTGTTCGGTAAAAATGTGATTAGGGCATTTAATCAGAATTCAAACCTTCTGCGCTTTCTCCTTCTGCTTCTTTTTTTTTTTTTAATATTTTTTTTAATTTATTTCGAAGGGAGAGGGAGAGAGAGAGAGAAACATCAACGGTGAGAGAGAATCATGGATCGGCTGCCTCCTGCACGCCCCCTACTGGGGATCGAGCCCACAACCCGGGCCTGTGCCCTTGACTGGAATCGAACCCGGGACCCTTCAGTCCACAGGCCGACGCTCTATCCGCTGAGCCACTCCGGCCAGGGCTCCTTCTGCTCCCTTCCACTCATGCCTTGCTTCAGGCTGCAGTCATAATGCGAACCTGGGTCACTGGTTTGTGGCTCTGCACGCGAGGGCCCTCCCCTCTGACACGCTCTCAGGACGTGGAACAGGAGCAAGGCCTCAGGTGGGGGAGCAAGAGGCACCCCATGTCTGAGCAGGGGAAACATTACCCACCATTCGCATCCACTCCCAGGAGCAAAGGGCGACCTCACAGACAAACCAGTGACAAAGGAGCCGAGGGAACACCAGGCAGCACAGCCGAAGGGCCTGGCGACCTCCCCAGGCGCCCACGGCCAATCCGGACGGGCAGCCGCCAGCCCTGTGTGCCCCTCTCCACACCCCCTGGACTCCACCCACTCCCTCCCAGGCTCGTGCTGTAAACCCTTGCAGGCACCCCCGGCCTCCTGGCAGAACCCCCGGTCCCCAGGCAGCCGGCACCCCGAATCCTCCTGCTTGCTCATCAGACGCCCCGTTCTGGACTTCCCTTGGCGCCGTACCAGCCCCTCAGATCTGCACGGCCCCCAAGCAGCCCAGGGACCACAGGGGGGCCACCCAATGAGGGGCAGGCAGTGTGTTTCAGCTCCAGGCCCAGAGAAGCCAGGCCACCAGCCACGGCAGACATCAGGGCCAGCTGCGTGGAGGAAGCACCCCTGCCCTGGTGCCGGCCAGTCCATCCGTGGACACCACAGCCCTGAATGGACACCCCTGGGAAGCTGCTGAGTGTTCTACTGAGATCTCCCCCTGGGACCCCCTAAAGTCTCCGCCCTTAAAACTATTAGGATGGCCCGGCCGGCCTGGCTCAGTGATTGAGCGTCGACCTTTGAACCAGGAGGTCACGGTTGGATTCCCGGTCAGGGCACAGGCCCGGGTTGCAGGCTCGATCTCCAGTAGGAGGTGTACAGGAGGCAGCCGATCAGTGATTCTCTCATCATGGATGTTTCTATCTCTCTCTCCCTCTCTCTCTGAAATCAATAAAAATATTTAAAAAATAAAAATAAATAGTAAAACACTTAGGATGGAGGACCCAGCGCACTGTCCCTCCAAGGAGCTCACCTGTGCCTTCCCTCCCCCCCCCCCTCTAAGGGGTAACTAAGAGGCGGGCTGCACGCTCACCACACACACACACACACACACACACACACACACATGCGTGTGCGTAAATGCACACACACACATACACACACGCGCGCGCACACACACACACGCACCTCGTGCACGGGCGCGGAAGCACAGACGTTGTGTGTTCTTTGGCTCCCTGTGTCCGTCCGTCGCTCCCCCCACCCGTACAGGGCAAAGGGATGCTTGTTTTCTCTCGTTTTACTTGACGGCCTCTGAGGACTTCGGAGCGCTTTCCTGCTGCCTCTGGCGAACAAGGCGCTGGGATGCTGGCGCGGTTTGGTGCCGCCGGGCAGGCGCTCCGTGCCCGTGCCCGCCCCTGCCACTCCGATCTCCTCTTCAGGCTTCTTCTTCACGCCTTTTCCTGGCGATGCTTTTTCTAAGAGAAGACAACACAAGAGGAAGACGCTTTAAAATCAGGGTTGCGAATAGTTCCTTTAGCCCAGCGGTTCTCAACCTGTGGGTCGCGACCCCTTTGGGGGTCGAACGACCCTTTCACAGGGGTCGCCTAGGACCATCGGAAAACACATACATAATTACATATTGTTTTTGTGACTCATCACTATGCTTTAATGATGTTCAATGTGTAACAATGACATTGGGGGTCACCACAACATGAGGAGCTGTATTAGAGGGTCGCGGCATGAGGAAGGTTGAGAACCGCTGCTTTAACTAGTTGGGCTGAAGGATACATTATGCTTCACTGAGTCAGGAACGTGTTCACCGATCCCTCCATTCGCATGTTCCGCTTAAAGCAGAAATGCACAAACAAGCAAATGTGATTCTTTTCAAACCAGCGGCCCCATTTTTACCTTATTTACTTTTTTTTCTTTTAAAGAATAGTTTATTGATTTTGAGAGAGAGGGGGAGAAGAGAGAAGCATTGATGAGAGTGAACCATCCATTGGCTGCCTCCTGCACGCCCCCCACTGGGGACCGAGCCAGCCACCCTGGCACGTGCCCTGATTGGGAATCGAACCGGTGACCTTGCCGTGCCTGGGACGACGCCCAACCAGCTGAGCCACACCGACCAGGGCCGACCCCATTTTTAAATCAACGACAAACGGAGCAAGGCTGAGCCAAGCCTTATTCAAAGGCAGCTACTGTCACTCAGATTCTGAGACTAAATATTAAAAGTAAGACATCTCTTCCCGGGTGGCATGGCTCAGCGGGTGAGCGCTGACCTGTGAACCAGAAGGTCACGGTTTGATTCCCAGCTAGGGTATGTGCCCTGTTGCGGGCTCCATCCCCAGCAGGGGGCGTGCAGGAGGCAGACGATCCATGATGCTCTCTCTCCATTGATATTTCTCTCTCTCTCACACCCTCTCTCCCTTCCTCTCTGAAATCAATTTTAATTTTTTTAAGTAAAGGATCTCTTTGGCCTAAGGGCTTTCTCCAAACTCCCAAGACAAATCCCCGGCCTCGATGCCCGGCTCCAGGGAGAATCCGGATTTATGAGGATCACCCAGCAGCTGCAGGGGTTCGTTTTTAAGTCACTCAACTCGAGCTCCCAGCTCCCATCACTCCCGATGTTCCACACTCTGGACAAGGCTGCGCGTGGCTCTGACACGCTCCCGGGAAGCGGTAGCTGGTGACCTCAACCCGACAGGCCCATCACAATAGGCTGTGGTTTCCATGGTTACCCACCTGGCGCACAGCCCCACATCCCCAGGGTGAAGAGCTACAGACGTGGGAGCCGTGTGTTAAGGGGCTGGCCCTCCATTTGCATCAGAAATGCCCCCGTGACCACAGGCCACCCGTCCGTCCCCCACGCTGTCGGCAGAGCCGGGACCGGTGGGACGGCCTGCCCGCCCCGCGGTGAACACTCCAAAGCACGACCATCTCCCCTCATGGCCTTTCGTGGTTCTGCCGTCATCGCTGTTCATAAACCCCCCGTTTTGGGTAAAGGCTGTGTTGTCCTGTTTTGTGTAAACCCTTTGTGAGCCTTCGTTCCCTGGCAGCCTACACTTCCCTCCAAATAAGGGCTCCTCTGCATCCAGGCCACGCCTCCCAGTCATGGGTCTGAAGCAGGGGTCCTCATGCAAATACAAATACTGTATTTGTTCCCGTTTGTTTTTTTACTTCAAAATAAGATATGCGCACAGTGTGCATAGGAATTAGTTCATGGTTTTTTTTTAAACTATAGTCCGGCCCTCCAACGGTCTGAGGGACAGTGAACTGGCCCCCTGTTTAAAAAGTTTGAGGACCCCTGGTCTGAAGGGTACCCCCTGCTCTGGAGGCTCCAGAATTGGGTGCTGGTGAGGATTTGCTGGATTGCTCTTCCCAAATCTCTTCGCCTTTTAGAGACATACTCTTCTTCCTTACCACTTTCACTTGCTTCTGTCCACATTCCCTTTTATAATATTTATATATTTTTTTAATTGATTTCAGAGAGGAAGGGAGAGAGAGATAGAAACATCCATGATGAGAGAGAATCACGGATCGGCTGCCTCCTGCACACGCCACACACTGGGGATCAAGCCCACGACCCGGGCATGTGCCCTGACCGGGAATCGAACCCTGACCTCCTGGTTCACAGGTGGACGCTCAACCCCTGAGCCACGCCAGCCGGGCTCCGTGTTCCCTCTAAAGAACAGTGAGCCCTGCACGGGCAGTCCAACTCAGGGGCCTTGATAGATCACCTGTCATGCCTATCGACAATGACCTTGACTCTACCAAAGTGAACAACCAACTAAGTAATTCAGAAATAGAGAGACAGAGAGAGAGAGAGAGAGAGAGAGAGAAGGAGGGAGAGAGAGAGAGAGAGAGAGAGAGAGAGAGAGAGAGAGAGAGAGAGAACAACGCAAGAAACCTCCCCAGAATTACAAAACACTAGTTCCACTAGAAGAGAGAAGACGCCAACAGGTTCCCAAGCAGGGGAGGTGCCATCTACAACAGAACAAGGATCAGACTGAGCCGAAACTGTGCCCGCAACATCACAAGTTCCACCTCCGCCCGGCGATGCCTCCAGATATTGAGACAACTCCTTCCAACCCAGAATTCCCGGCCCAGCCACCACCTCGCTGAACTGTGAGGGCAGAAGAGGGCTATCCTTCCACATGCAAGGTCTCGGAAGACTAACCTCTCACACCGCCTTTCTCAGGAAGCTACCAGGAGGAGCTCAACCAGGAAAGAAGACGCCGGGGAAGCCACACAACGAGGCTCCCACCCGGCCAGAAGGCCAGGAGTCCCGGGGCGGTGGCCACGGGCCCTCCCCAGGCACCACCCGGCCGCCGCCGCCAAGAGCAGCCACCGGGCCAGATGGAAGTGGGTCAGAGGCCCTGGGAGGGACGGCCGTCGATGGCCTGAGCGATAGTGAACCTGACGCGCTGGCTGGATTGTGAAAGAAAGAAGAGGGATCATGGCAAACAATGTAGGGCAGCTTTTTTTTTTTTAATCCTCACCCGAGGATATTTTTCCATTGGTTTTTAGAGAGAGTAAAAGAGAGAGAGAAAGACTGAGAGAAACATCGATGGGTTGCCTCCTGCACGCGCCCCGACCAGGGCCTGGGCCGGGGAGGGGCCTGCCACCAGGGTACGTGCCGTTGACTAGAATCGAACCTGGGACTCTCTGGTCCTCGGGCCGACGCTCTATCCACTGAGCCACACCAGCCAGGGCAATGTAGGGCAGCTCTGAGCCACACTTGCACAGGCACAAAAGTGTAGATACTCATCATGAAGCGAATAAACGCCATGATGCCTGTATGTAGAGGGTGTAGCAACGGGCCGTGTGTATGGGTTAGGACAGAGGTAAGAAGAGAGCCAATAAATAATGTTAAAAACTTAAAGAACTGCCAAAGCCGGTGTGGCTCAGTGGATAGAGCGTCGGCCTGCGGACTGAGGGGTCCCAGGTTCGATTCCGGTCAAGGGCATGTACCTGGGTTGCAGGCACTTCCCCAGTGGGGGATGTGCAGGAGGCAGCTGATCGATATTTCTCTCTCATCGATGTTTCTAACTCTCTATCTCTCTCCCTTCCTCTCTGTAAAAAATCAATAAAATATATTAAAAAAAAAAAAAAAAACTTAAAGAACTCAGGAGACACACACACACACACACACACACACATACACAAATAAATAAATAAACTCAGGACGTGTCAGTGAAAGCAACGCTACTCGAAGTCGCAGAAATAAACACCCAAGGAAAATCCAGGGGAGTCGGGAGTGGTCCGGAAGGAACAGGCAGTTGGTATGTGTGTGGCGGGGGCGGCGCTGTCTTTGTAATAAGGCGTATCTCTATACAGAAAAGCCCAGGAACCCAACGGCAGAACCACCAGCCGCTAGGATGCACACTGCTGAGGCCAACCAGCCCATCCGGCCCCATCAGCGCCCCCACCCTGATCAGGGGCAGCCAGCAGCAAACCTCCTGAGTTCCCTCCCCCCAGCCCCACCCCGAATGGGCCCCCATCTGACAGGGCCCATGGACCCCACACCGGGCCTCTAGTAGAACTATATGATTCTGTGTGTATATGCGGCTTCAGTAAAAACAAGAATTACATGTTTATGTTTTACAGAAACCCAAGAGTGCTCATCATTCTAGTATATAAAACCGCCCACTGCCCAGCTGACATAACTCAGGGGTTGAGCATCGACCTATGAACCAGGAGGTCAGGGTTGGATTCACCATCAGGGCACATGCCCCGGGTTGCAGGCTCCATCCCGTGTGGGGCGTGCAGGAGGCAGCCAATCGATGATTCTCATCATTGATGTTTCTCTCTCTCTCTCCCTCTCCCTTCCGGTCTGAAATCAATAAAAACCTGTTTTTAAAATGATGGTGCTACCTGATTATTTTGCACCTTGAAGGAGAAAAATACATATTCTGAGACCAGTGGCCGGGGGGTACTGCGCCCTGTCAACTGCAGTTCTTTTCTCGCTAGACGAGCCTCTTTAAAACCCAGGCACCACCTTAGAGGGCGGCAGGAGGCACTGCTGGCTACTGTATCCCAGGGGTTCAACCTGGCCCTTACCACCGGCGAGCATCCCCCGGCCCCCGCCCCCCCAAATCCCGCCTCCCGGGCTGAGTCCCCAACTCTGCAGCCTCTGGGCAGGAAAGAAAGGGGAGGACCAGGGCTGAGACAGCAGAGGCGCAGCTTCCCCCAGGGGCCATGTCCCAGCCACTGCTGTGAGCGAGGGAAGCGGAGGGGACCCCGCGCCCGCCAGGCCCTCGCCCCGCCCGCCCGCCCGCCCGCGTGACGTCACACTCTGCGTAAACAAATACAAACTCCTCCCCGGCCCAGGTCCCGGGGGTCACTCCCAACACAACAGGGCGGTGGGTCTCAGCCTCCGAGAGTCGCCTTTGAGCCTCCGACCAAAGCTGGGCTCTTCTCATTTTAAAAAAAATGGGGGCTTAGGAATACACGGGTGGGGGTTCGCGGGCTCCCTAAGGCCCCCTGGCCCTCGCTGCTGGCTGGAGCCCCGATTAGGGAAGTAAGCGTGGGAAGGGAGCGGAGGGGGGACGGAGGCGGGTTGACATCTGCCTTATATTGTCTAGGGGGGCGGACGCCCCGTTCGTTAAGGGGATAAAGCAGCCCCGGCCGGTGTGGATCAGTGGGTAGAGCGTCGGCCTGTGGACCAGAAGGGTCCCGGGTTCGAATCCGGTCCAGGGCAGGTACCTCGGGTGCAGGATCCTCCCCGGCCCGGGCCCTGGTCGGGGCGCATGCAGCAGGCCCCCCTCCCCCATCGGTGTTTCCCTCGGTCCCTCCCTCCCCCTGCCCCTCACGCCGCGAGCAACGGGCCGAGGGGAAACCTCCATCCTCTGAGCACCCCCCCACCCCCAGTACCTGGCACAGACGTGTCCTCCGCGTCCCCGGCCTCCGCGTCCCTGGCCTCCGCGTCCCCGGCTTCCGCGGCCTTCGCGGCCGGCTCCTCCTGGGACCCGCGCGTCCGCTGGGCCGGCCCCTCCGCGGGCGGCGGCGGCGAGGCCGAGGCGCACCGGGGCGCGGGGCTCCCGGCGCCCGACGACGCCGAGGACCCCGAGTCGTCCGAGGAGCCCGCGGGGCGCCAGGCGTCCCAGAGCCAGGGCGCGTGCGCCTGCTCCAGCAGCCGGCGGCCGCGGCGGTAGTGCAGCAGCTCCCGGTAGCAGGGCGCGTACTCGGCCCAGCGCGGGTCCCGGTAGCGCTTCATGTACTCGCTCTTCACGCCGCGGCCCGGGGACATGGCGCCGCCGCCCGCCCGCCTCGGGGCCCGCCGATCCCGCCGCCGCCGCCGCCTGCGAAAGCCGGGACACGACACGGAGGCGCGTCCTGCCGCTCCGGCCGCCGGGCCCGCCGCGACATTTAAATCCGAGCCCCGCCCGGACGGGCAGACGGGCCGACGGGGTGGGGCGCGAGGGGCGGGGCTCGGGGCGGGGCTCGGGGCGGGAGGGGGCGCGGCGCAAAGAGGGGCGGGGCTAGGCCTGGGGCGGGGCGGGGGCGGGGCTAGGGGCGTGGTGGGAGGCTGGACTAGGGGCGGGGCTGGGTGGGGGCGGGGCTAGGGGCGGGGCGCGGGCTAAGGAGGGGCGGGGCTAGGGCGCGGGGCAGACAGGGGCGCGGGGATGCAGGGCGGGGAGGCGCGGAGGGGCGCGGGGTACAGGAGAGGCTGGGCTGGGGGAGAGGAGAGGCGGGACGCGGCGCGGGAGTGGGCGGCCAGCTTCGGGGGGGCGGGGTCCTGGGGGCACCTGCTGGCGAGGCGTCTCCCCCGCACCCAGGTCCTGGGAGCTTCGGTGGGGAGAGGGCGGAGCGGCCCGGGCTGCGGGAGGGGGGTCACCCGGGAAGGCGACTGGGCAGCGTGGGAGCCAGGACTGCGGGCGGGGCGGGGCCCGAGGGCGGCGGGAGCGGGGAGGGTGGGGGAGGAGGAGGCCGAGGAACCGTGGACGCGAGCGCGGGGCCGGGAGCGGGGTTCCCGGGAGCGGGGGGAGGGGGGGCCGCGGCCCCTGAGCGCCCTCCGGGGCGGGCTTACCTCCGCCAGCCGCGCCGGCCCGTCCTCCGCGGTGGCGCAGCAACCGGAGCGGCCCGCTGTCCGCGCGCTCCTCCCGCGCAGGATGTCGCCGATGGCGGCCCGGTTGCCGCGGCAGCCCCGCCGGCGGAGACGCCGCCTCCGTCCCCGTCCCCGGAGCAGGCGCCTCCCCCGCGCGCTCCCCGCCGGCTCCGTGGGGGCGGCTGCTGCAGCGCAGAGCGCGGCGCGCGAGGGCGCCGGCGGGTGGGCCGCCCTGGGGACCAGGCCCAGGTCGCTGTACCCCCCGATTAGGCGCTGCCCCCTGTCCGGGGACCTCCTGGCCGCACCGCGCACCTGCGCTGGACGCGTTTCCCAGAAACACACACGTCCACCGGCGGCTCTCCCTTCCTCTCCACCTGTTACTCCGGCTTTAACCCATTTTCACTCCTGTCTACACCCCAAACGTTTTAAATTTTATTTTTATTGATTTCAGAGAGGACTGGAGAGAGAGGGATAGAAACATCTATGATGAGAGAGAATCATGGATCGGCTGCCTCCTGCACGCCCCCTACTGGGGATTGAGTCCGAAACCCAGGCATGTGCCCTGACCAGGAATCGAACCCTGACCTCCTGCTTCATAGGCTGATGTTCAACCACTGAACCACACCGGCCCAGCTCTTTTTTTGGGGGGGGGGGGTGCCCTTGTCCGGAATCGAACCCAGGACCCTTCAGTCCACAGGCCAACGCTCGATCCACTGAGCCAAACCAGCGAGAGCCCGAGCTCTTTTTAGATTTTGCACAGACACAATTCATTCTTTGCAGCTCATGTAGCTGAATAAGCCTGCGGGGGTTGGGGGGGTTGGGGGGGGGGAGTTGGAAGCTAAGGTTCACCAAGTTCTTTGCCTCGTAAAATGATAATAATAATGAAAATAAGTAAGAATAATAAAATCACACCAGACCTGCTCAGCAGGCTGGCCTTGGCCCTGAGTCCTCCGGGAGGCAGGGGGCAGGCTCGCTCCCTGGCTGCCCACAGAGAGCAGGGGGCTCACCTCTCCAGCTGCCCCAGATGCCTGCCTGTCACTCCATCCCCTCCCCCCCCCCCCCCAGTCACTGTCCACCGCCATTGGGCTGGGTGCACGCCTCCCACCGGCTCAGCAGCACAGAGCCCACCTGGCCCCAGGCAGGCCTCCAGGAAGCCTGGTTCCAGTTTCCAAAATTAGCTCTCCTGGTCCAGTAACTGCCCCAGTAAACATGCCCATATGTTCCCAGGGGGAGAGAGCAAGGCAGCCCCTGTCAGCCATGCGCTGGGGTAATTTGTTTAAAATCTATTTGTATTGATTTCAGAGAGGAAGAGAGAGAGAGAGAGAGAGAGAGAGAGAGAGAGAGAGAGAGAGAGAGAGAAACATCCATGATGAGAGAGAATCATGGGTCGACTGCCTCCTGCACGCCCCACACTGGGGATGGAGCCCACAACCCGGGCCTGTGCCCTGGAATTGAACCGTGACCTCCTGGTTCCTAGGTCGACCCTCAACCCCTGAGCCACGCCGGCTGAATGAGGTTCATTTATAGAGAAGAAAGGAGCCACTGGGCGGGGGTACACCAGGGGCCCGGGGGGGAGCTCGGGCAGCGAGAAAAGGCACCAAATGCACCAGAGGTGCCTTTGTCCTGTGCCTGGAGGAGCCGTGGGCCTGCTTTCCGATGCCCCCCCTCCTCCAAGTTCAGGTTCAGGGACAAGTTCCCTGCACAGACTGGACCTGGATGGACCCCCCCCCCTCTGAGGCTCGCCGATGGCTGCCGGGCGGCGTCCCTGGGACCTAAGAATACGCACAAATCAGAAGGCGGGCTGCGAGCCCTGGCCATGCAAGGAGCCGAAAGCTGACACCGGCCGCCTGTCCCCGTGGCCTTGCCCTAAAGCGGCAGGGCGTTCACCCCAGGCCAGGGCCCCCCAGGCCAGAGCCCCCCGCCGGGCGTGCCAGGCGCCCTATAACGAGAGGATGAGCGTGCTGGGGGGAATGGCAGGCATGTGGCCCAGCTGTCGCCGCGAGCCCGGCCCAGAACGGCTGCCCTGACCCTGGCCCCACATCTTCCCTGGCTCCGGCTCCAGGGCCAGCGCGGGGCGGCCCCTCCCAAGCTCTCGGTTACATGAGAATGAGCCCAGGAAATGGACAACCAGCCCGGAGAAGGCGGAGGCCGCTGGAAGGGAGAGAAGTCAGAAACCTGGTTAAGGAAGCAAGGGGGGGGGGGGGGGGCTCTGTCGTCCATGCTGACTCTGACTTGGGGGGGGGGGGCTCTAGAAGGAAAATGCCTCCCTCCAGCTTGTGCCCAGCACCCCACATTCCTTCTGGGCATCCACGACTCCGGAGAGAGTAACAGGCCAGAGGCAGGGGTTCATGTTTTTTTAATGTTTTTTTTTTAAAAACTATATCTTTATTGATTTGAGAGAGGAAGAGAGAGGGAAGGAGAGATAGAAACATCAACGAGGAGAGAGAATCTTGGATCAGCTGCCTCCTGCACGCCCCACACTGGGGATGGAGCCCGAAACCTGGGCATGTGCCCTTGACTGGGAATCGAACCGTGACCTCCTGGTTCATAGGTCGACGCTCAACCACTGAGCCACGCTGGCCAAACACCATGGGCTTCATGATGCAACTTTAGCTTGGGATTCTCTCATCAACTCTCAGCCTCGTTTTCCAAATCTGTAAAATGGGAATCCTTCCGGCTTTCCTCAGGAGCTGACTGCTCCCAGCCCACCCAGGGGCCAGCCCCTCAACCCAGGTCGTGACACTGGCTGCTCGGCCAGCAGCCTGTCACCGAGCCCCCCAGGGAAGGAAGGAGGTGGCTCGGGGAGCCACATGATCGGGGGGCTTGGCCACGGCTCTCAGGGACCCACCGCAGGCAGTTGGGGCCTGAGAGCATGTCTCAGCAGTTCAGGGTCAGGCTGCCCTTGCCCCTGGGGCTGGCATTGCCCCTGGGGCCAAGGATGGACGGGCACACACAGGCTCTGCTCAGGAAAGACAAACAGCTCAGGACACCTAATGGGATAAATGGAGGCGCACAGTGAGGGGCGAGCCCCCCATGTGTGGGAGCAGGCGCCTGAGGGGCTGAGAGGCGATGTCTCGGGGAGTGGGGCCTTGGGCTCCCGTCACTGTGCTCAGAGGGGGCGGCGTGGCATGCGCACTGAGTCTGCGGGCCCTGTCCTCCCTCCCGCAGCCCCCTTCCACCCCCTCCCCCCCCCCCCCCCCCCGCCCCAGCAGCTCCCGGCTTTAAGTTGGAGTCTAGAGCTGGGCTCGCTTGTCCAAGCAGAACGGGGGGACATCAGGCCACTTGTCAGTGTCCCTCTGCTTCCTTCTAGGGTCAGGCCGAGCGCGTGAGGGAGTGGACAGCTGTCTGTCCTGGGAGTCCCCAGGAAAGCTGAACCCGCGCCAGGGCCAGGACTGGCACCTGCTCCTGTGGGTGCAGCTCGGGCACTCGGGCTGTGCCGGGCTCAGCAGCTCAGCCGCCGGGCCTCCACCTCGGGCACAGGCAGCCCTCCCCCTCCCACTCCCCACCCCCCGGCCCTGGGTCCCCCCGATCTTGCTCTGCACATGGGGATTCTTCCCAGAAAGAGCAGAGCTGCTCATTCTCCTGTCCAGCCGGCCCAGGAGCGGGGAGAGAGCAGCACGGGGGCGGGGGAGGGGGGCACCATCCTAGGGACCCAGGGGACACAATGGCTCTGGCTGTGCACCCCTCAGAAAGCACCCCAGATCCCCAGCGAGAGGGAGCACCAGTTCCTCGCCCAGTCCCTCTAAGGCACCTGGATGGACACCCTCCGCATCCGCCTTTAATGTGATGCAAACAAGTTCTCTCCGGGGCCAGAGCCCAGACCGCAGGCTCCTACCCAGATGCTCCCCACGCCAGGTTGGCCCTGGCTGGGTCGGCTCCGTGGACAGAGCGTGGACCTGCAGACTGAAGGGTCCCGGGTTCGATTCCCAGTCAAGGGCACGTGACCAGGTTGCGGGCTCAGTCCCTGGTGTGGGGCGTGCAGGAGGCAGCCGATCGACCTCTCCCTTTCCCTTCCTCTCTGAAATCAATAATAAAAAAAAAATACTTAAAACACATACACACACACACACACACACAAAGGGGACCATCACCATGGAGATTATCCAAGTCTTCAGCCCCCTCCAGGTGGTGCTGAGCCCTGGGGGGTGCAAAGGCACCTGGCAGCACCCCTCCTGGCCCTGCCTGTGACCTTGTGACCTCGGAAAGGCTGTGCACGGTGTTCCCTATCACAGGCCAAGGAGAGAGCAGCCCTAACTGCAGAGTGGGGTGAGGGAGGCATTGGGGGTGCAGCCTTCCCCCCACAGCGTTCACGGAGACAGTTGTCCCAATCCCCTAACGCTG